TAGAACAAGAAACACTTCTTGATTGAAAAACCCAAACCTTCCAATACTCATCCTGTTTCATAGTTTTTATCTGTTCCATGATTTTCCCAAGAATATATGATGCAGTACATATCTTAATTGCTACCTGTCAATGCATATATGAATATAGTACAATAATAGCAATATTTTGAGACCACCCCCATCTCAGGTGACATTTGCATCAGTGAGAATGCCTGGGCCCTGTTCCTCAAAGCGATCTTAGTGCTACGTTGATCGTAGGCCTATGATAAAGTATGGGAGTTACGACCAACTTAGTACTAAGATTGCTTTGTGGAACAGGTTCCTGGGCCAGTGTGAGGTCATCACCTCAGGATAGGTGTTAGGTAATTACCTCAGGCTATAGGCCATTTCATACATGCAAGGACCAGTGAAGATCTGGGGTAGAATAGGTCTTCAGCAACCCATGCTTGCCGTAAAAGGCGACTATGCTTGTCGTAAAAGGTGAGTAACAAGATTGGGTGGTCTGGCTCGCTGACTTGATTGATGCAAGTCATCGATCCCAATTGCGTGGATCGATGTTCATGATGTCAATCACTGGTTTGTCTGGTCCAGACTCGATTATTTATAGACCGCCATCATATAGCTGGAATATTGCTGAGTGTGGCGTAAAACAACACACCAACCAACCAGCCAACCAACCAATCATACATGCAAGACAGCATACAAGTTAAATATCATCTTACATGTAAAAGTGCCTTTTCAGGCTAATTTCTTTGTCAGTTAGGATAGTGTAGATTTGTGCTATTTTGATATGTTATTTCATAGCACTTTGATGTATATTTATTAAATTAGGCCAGAAAAGCATTTTTCTAGCATTTCCGACAGAACTATATTTTTGAGTATCAGTTTGTATAATCTTTGTTTTATTTATGACATACAGAAGATAAATTGAAGGTATCAGGAATTTGAGTATTGACATTTCTAATTCTATCCCAATTTTAGATACATAACAAATTATTATATTTTGTCATGTTTACCTGTGAATCAAACTTGAATGATATTTTAATATACAAAATTTGTTTTTGTGGTGTAAATAATCCATGATTTATGTATTCAATAACAAACCTATAGAGTAAAATATTGATTTCTTAAAATATCTGTAAATTTGCATGCTTTTTTAAAATATAAATTCAGTGTTTTTGCACAGTGAGTTCAAGTCCCTGTGTTGCAACTAGCTCCATGTTGGAAGTGTTGTGGTACATCTGACTTGAGCACAGTGAAGAGAATTAACATCTGGCACAGCAGACATTAGGCTGCTACTTAAAAGGTTTATTGATTGAATAACCACAAAGTGTGACACATGGACAAACGTTATAGTATAGTGATATATTCTCTTATAATGTTGTAGGTCCCCGTAGCGCAGCGGATAGCACGCTGGACTTCTTATCCAGAGGCCGCGGGTTCGAATCCCGCCGGGGATGTATATTTTTTTTTTTAGCTTGCATGTTTGTAGTTTCAGGAGTGTTTTTTTTTCAGTTCAATATCATTATCATGCATCGTCCTTCTGTCTGTAACACATTTTATGTTACAGTTCCATCAGGTTATTTTTTATGTAATGTTGTAACTATTTTTAGGATTATTCGCCTGATGTTTGTTAAGGCCTACAACAACTTTGAGACTAAAGGACGAAGTAAGGGCTCTTTTAGGCCTGTCAGCTCGAGGTACACAGGCTCACACACAGGGTACATCACATCATATACCCCTCAACATCGGTTGACCATTTCTAATGTATCCCGCCTGGGGGGAGAATGAATAAATCCCTTATACCCTGCCACAAAGAAAACAGGCTGCATATTGATTTCTAAGCAGGAGAATAAATCTCTTGCTCACAAGAAGCAAAAAGCTCCATGTTTATGTGTCAATAAAAGTCATGTGACACAGCACAAGTATACCTCAGCACATCGAACAGCTGTTTCCAATCAATCTTCAGTTTGTTTTCATTCTTTTACAATGGCAGGTTGAAACATATCGACAAGATAAAACCAAACACAGGATGCATAAAACCACATACCACTGAGTGGTACTGCCATAACTCATATTTTATATACAGTTGAACATTGTTGTGTTTGTAAAAAGTTTTAGCTATCCTTCAAGACAATTAAGAAAGTGATTTTTCAGAAAAACAAACATCATGTTATTAGAGATTATTACCAGGTCCGAATGCAACATTAGATTTCAAGGCGTATGTAAATTTCATTGCCCAGGCTGCTGGTTGTGACTGGGGCGGCAACTCAGCCGTATCATCGCCATCTGGATTGGCATAATTGTTTAAGTCATATCTGAAATAACAGAATCACTAACATAATCTTAATTTGTTTTACTCATTTCTCATTTTTCACATGCCATTGACAGTCAATGTACCTTTCTGAGAATGTGTATACAGTAATCAGATTGGACCATTGTTTTAAGGTGTGCTTGATAATTAGCCTTGATTGGATATTGGTATGTTGTTAGAAAGCATCATGCCTTTTATTTAATTGCAGCAATCACAGTGAGGTCAGTCAATTGTGTGTGAAGTGAAGAAAGTTTGGCAATAAAGAATAAATGATGATAAGTATAGAGGGAATTAACAGGGACTGGAAGGTGTAGTCGAGAGGGAATTAACAGGGACCCGGAAGGTGAAGTCGAGACGGAATTAACAGGGACCCGGAAGGTGAAGTATAGAGGGAATTACCAGGGACCGGAAGGTGAAGTCGAGAGGGAATTAACAGGGACTGGAAGGTGTAGTCGAGAGGGAATTAACAGGGACCCGGAAGGTGAAGTCGAGACGGAATTAACAGGGACCCGGAAGGTGAAGTATAGAGGGAATTACCAGGGACCGGAAGGTGAAGTATAGAGGGAATTACCAGGGACCCGGAAGGTGAAGTCGAGACGGAATTACCAGGGACCCGGAAGGTGAAGTCGAGATGGAATTAACAGGGACCCGGAAGGTGAAGTATAGAGGGAATTAACAGGGACTGGAAGGTGAAGTCAAGATGGAATTAACAGGGACCCGGAAGGTGAAGTATAGAGGGAATTACCAGGGACCGGAAGGTGAAGTATAGAGGGAATTACCAGGGACCGGAAGGTGAAGTCGAGATGGAATTAACAGGGACCCGGAAGGTGAAGTATAGAGGGAATTAACAGGGACTGGAAGGTGAAGTCGAGATGGAATTAACAGGGACCCGGAAGGTGAAGTATAGAGGGAATTACCAGGGACCGGAAGGTGAAGTATAGAGGGAATTACCAGGGACAGGAAGGTGTAGACGAGACGGAATTAACAGGGACCCGGAAGGTGAAGTATAGAGGGAATTACCAGGGACCGGAAGGTGAAGTATAGAGGGAATTACCAGGGACCGGAAGGTGAAGTATAGAGGGAATTACCAGGGACTGGAAGGTGAAGTTGAGAGGGAATTAACAGGGACTGGAAGGTGTAGTCGAGACGGAATTACCAGGGACTGGAAGGTGAAGTCGAGAGGGAATTAACAGGGGCCGGAAAGTGTAGTCGAGAGGGAGTTATCATGGTATAACATTTATACTAAGTTATCCTATAATAATTAGATCCACATCAAGTGCTTTTAGGAGTTATCATGGTGTAATATTTATACATCATTTCATATAATTATAGTTTAGTAAGTAATACTTAACATCAGGTAAAATGCACATATAATATATCAGTAGTTTCAGTTATACCTTTTTAGATAAATGCTAGCCTAAGGTAACGGGAGCGCATCTCCTAGACATACCATTCAATAAATTTAGAATTAACAGCGACCGGAAGGTGAAGTCGAGACAACTGCAAATTTGACACATCAAAGTTTAACACAACAAGTTTCGACTATGTTTTAGAAACAAGATGTATCTAGTCACCATCTGTTTACTATTATATGATGTTTAGGCCCCATATTGTTATATACTAGGTACCAAAACAAACTGCATAGGATAACATGCACAGTTTCTTGTGGTGCCTAGTATAGCTGGTTCACAAGGGGGAAAGTCAGAATGATCTATTGTTGCAACAATTCAGGGCTTAAACATCATCTAATAGATGATGCCAAACATATCATATTTTGAATATTAAAGGTCATTTTTACTCAAAATATAAAGGAAGAAGTGCACATGACAAAATGCAAAAGTTTTAAGGAATCAAGTTTACATCCTGTCATTGTGTGGCCTTGCCCTTGACAACAAATATAATATGACTTCCAGAAATAATAGCATTACAAAGCACATGTAGACCTGAAAATGGAGTTCAGTACACCTTGGATATTGGATACCAGTTCCATTTTAGTTATAATACTTTTAACGTTCACATTTAGTGCATTATATATTCCATTGTTAACGTTTATGTTTACATTAAAGAGTTGTATCGAAAACATATGTACTGGTCCTGTCGTTTATACCGTTGTTAGTGTCAAGTTTTCATTTTGACATGACGTGTGACAAAGATTCCAAAAAGTGTAGATAATCCGGCCTAAAAAATTTGTTATGGTGTCTTGAGTTGCCATCTACAGTGTCATATTTGGTTAGCAGAAAAATATTTTTCATCCGTTTTTTAAACAAAAATTACCTAGATATATAAATGACAACTTTTCATGTAATGTTACATGGGGTGACGTTTCTTTTGCGGTTCAGTATTTTAGAATTTCGTTCCTCCATGGTGGACATATTGGATTTGGTGGCCATAATGGAATTTTTTGGGTGGCCCCATATCTGAAAATATTTGGAATATCATTATCTACTACTGTGCAAAGCTTCATGCTTTTTATCACCAAGTGCACAATGTTTCACAAAATGGCTCCACTACAACTGAAGAATATAACTTCACTATAACTGATCATACAATGTGCTTTTTGATAGCGCTCATTATACGAAATAGTGTGTTTTTTTATTGAAAGTTGTACTGGAAAATGGGGATTGGGCATTGCACTCATGTGCATTATACACAGGAATATACAATAATGACACTGCTGTTGTTTCAGTATCAGCTTGATGTATGACTGTGTTTGCAAGCCATGGATATCCCCTTCACCTTTTTCCCATCCGTCTATCAACACCACAGCAGTCTGCACACACACAGGGACTACTTCCTGGACTATGGGAGTCACGTGAACATGGACATAGAAGCACACCAGCTTCTGACGGAGGGGAGACTTAAAACCATCTGTCAGAAGTGTCACCCTGGCCAGGAGCAGAACCTACACTTGTCTGCCATCTTCCCGACGCTGCCACTAGCACCACATCCAGCTGCAGGCAAGCCTTCTACATTTTATTCAGTATGTAAAAATATATGATTCTTGGTGAGCAGTATCTTTCAAAATGAGCTTTCTATCTTTATGCTGTATACATGTATATCATTTATTAATCTTACATTGTTTCCTTCTACAATTAACTCAGCACAGTCCCCAAAATTTCAGCCCATCTTTTCCCTAATTTCTCCTCTTGACAGAGTCATGTTGTTGCCTTTCTCTGCCCACAGTCAGTCTGTCCATGATACTGTCCGTCAATCCATTAGCCCTTAAAACTTGTCTTCTCCTACCTGGCTTCAGCAAAGTAATTCCTTTCATATTAGAAATGTCCTATTATCCATATCTTAGTCATAGTTTTAATGAAATTGTTACATGGAATAAGTATGTTGTATGAATAAGAATATGTTACATTTTGTTGTCTACTGTAGTATTTGACACAACTTCAACCTCTGTCCTATGTAATATTGCTGTAATGAGCCAGTTATTCATCAGATCGTTATTATAAAAGAAACAAACGTATGTTTTCCATGTAAATCTAAAATGATATTATTTGTTATTAATTGTCCGGTGAATTAAACAATTTAAATTGAAACAATTCATAATTCATCATATAATGAATACGTAAACTTGTAATGTGTGTGAAAAGTCGTACTAAAATACGCTATTTGAAGGGGGCGTGGCCTAAATGCAAATGTCCGATTGGGATTTTAAATTTTCCGGACCCCTGTATTCATGTATAATATACACGTAGTGAGGAGATTCGTTGTGTAGAAACTGTTAACTTTTCTTTGAATAGTTTTCACTTTGTTGCCCTGTAGGGCCTTTCTGATCTTATGCAGTATTTATTTTGATTCTATTACTGCCTGTATTGTCTTAAAATTGATTTGATTAGTCTTAAAATGTTATGACTTGGAGATTTTGATTAGCTATATTGTGGCAGCTCATGTGGACGAAAAACCCATTGGGCTAATGGTCATGACCTTTTTGTCCACTATCTGTTGCTGTCACTGCTGGTGTCTGTTGTGTGTCAATAGCTTTTTCTCTGAAACTGCTGAACTGATGAATTTGAAATTTCACTCCTAGATTTGGTCCAGAGGTTCCAATTCAATATTCAATATGGCCACCATGGCAGCAATATATTTGCAAACCTATTTATAGCCATATGCACAGCCAATTTTGTTCAAAATGAAATGGAATTTGACCATGCTTCTAAATCATCTCAAAATGTATATTCTTCCACTGTAAACATCGTCTCCTGAGAAATGATGTCTTTGCACTACTTCTTACATCATGTAGTAATCAACTCTATCATACCAAAACATTCCTGAAAAGGAACTAATGTAATGTGAAAGTAATCACTCACAGAATTTATGATTGATTCCTTGATTGGAAACTGAAACAATCAATCAGGTATGAAATCAATAATTTTAACATCGCTAATGTAAATGCACATAGCAACATATTTTGTTCAGTTTCTTCTCAGAAACCAAAAGTCTCAATGAGCATATACTCTGTTAGTAAACTAACACTACAGTATTGTGTAGATTAAATCATAGGATTGAATCTAAAATGAAGCTGTTTTTCTTGAAATTCAAAAGAAAATCTATTAAGTTAGAATGTCACAGTGATTCAACTAAATGATTATACATTTCCGTAGGTCCCAGCCTCTGCACTTAACTTTTGCCATTGATGACAATATTGTGAAAATGACATACAACTGATGTGTGTTGATTGTTTACAGGAATACCATGACTAAGTTCTAGTGTAGAGACTGTTACACTGAGATCGATGATGGCTAAAGATTTCACGACCTATCACACTGAGTTTCCTTTAAATTTACCTGGTGAACAGTACTGCCTTGGGGACATGTTTCAGAAATTGTAGTTCTTAATGTTTTTACAACTGTCTTCTTGACATTCCAGTGACCTTCCCATTTCCTGATGGAATCGGGGATCCTGTCCGAGACTGTCAAGAGAAAACACATTTCTTTATTGCCAAGATCAGACACAATCAAGGGCGTCTGCGCCTTAATTCGGTAAGAACACACAGTATATATGTGATAACAAAGGGGCTTCAAGTTTCAGCAGAAATGGGATGTTTCAGGGGTGAACCTTTTTAGGTTTTCCAGGTTCAGGGATGTTCATTTGCAATGAAGTACTGTCTCCTGTCTGTGTTAGAGCACAGCCTTATACTTGAGTTCCACAGAAAGCATATTAATGTATATAGTGAACAGATTGCACAAACAGCATCTTTCACATTCCACTTAAATCACACAAACTCACATCCAAGGCATCCTTACAAGTATTGATATACATGCAGGTCAGGCAGCCCTGATGTGTAAGGGATGGAGAACATCAAAGTTTGCCAAGCATGAATTGTGGCATGTTGCAAGACAGACAGGACATGACACATAACATAAAACACCTTATCATACCTCCAGGTCTGATGGGTCCAAGTGATCTTAATAAAATACAATGTATCCTGCCTTGGAAGGGAATACATTTCTCAGCAGGGGAATAAATCCCTAATGCCCAGCCATGAACAATTCAGGCAGCATATGCATTTCTGAGACAAAATAAATCCCTTATACCCTGCTTCAAAGCGAAAAGCTGCACGCTTTTTCTGAGTCAATGGAAAAGTCACGTGACATAATGCAAGTTTACCCAAGCTCAATCGAACAGCTGTTTCCTATCAATTTTGAATTTGTTTGAATTGTTTTTCAATGTCATATTAAAACATGTCGGTAAGATAAATATTTTACTTATCCTGCATTACTCCTAAATGCATATTACTGCTTGTTCTTGACAGAGGAAAAGAGCTGTGTGAGGGTCTTTGCTTGAAGAAGTTGCTCCAACTAGCTGAGAGCCCAGCCCATCACGCATCTCCCACGTGACCAAAGGAAGTGACGTCACGGATCCTCACATTACTCTTGTCACTTGATGAGAGAAGACATGTTTTTTCTTCCTGTAACATAAAACTGATTCAAACCCTCACGTGTTTGCTATCTGAGTTAATGTTGTTTTGTCTTTGTGTTGTGCCTACGGTTTGTATTTTGTACATTCTATGTTTGATAAACATGTGCATAACTTTATTGGACACTTACTGGCGTTTTCTCAAAATAAAATAAAAGGCCAGGTGTCTTGTTGCTCCAAGTATCCATCTTGATTATTTTGCATAGCCAGCCGTTAGAATGAACAGGTTTGTGTTCTATATTCTTTTGCTTGGTACCCCATGATTGGTGTATCATCGCACATATTGTTTGTTTGTTGTATGTTGTCTTACATTTGTCGTAATATTTGTTTCATAACCCCACACAGTGGGATAAACAAATTATAGCATACATAATCGGGCGGGGACGCATTGTGATTTTACACTGCTTCGTTGCAGATATCATGCCCTCCTGCTTGAAAAGGCGCAATATGTCGGCGTGGGATCCCCACCCCCTGTGCCTTAATTGTACATCTCAATGCCACCAAGATCACAGATGTAAAGACTGTTTACTGCTTTCACCAAAAGCTTTCAGACAGTATCTACGTGTGTAATAAACGCAGAACACAGCAGGCCAGGAAACACCGGCACAGGATGTCAGACATCTCTGAGGTTTCGCTTTCCAGATCGGCCATCTCGGATGCCCCCCTCCGACTTCAACTGCTACCTTGATGTCGGTCCCCAGGGTTGTAGTCTCTACCCAGAGCACTCGGACAAGCACAACAGCGTCTATCTTTACGTTGTTGACCTCTGTGGCGCTCAAGTACCAGACGGCGTCTATACCTTCCTTCGGACAGACGCTCGGTCTCCCACAGGTGCCCCCGCCTACGGCACAGATGCTCGGTCTCCTACAGGATTCCGCCTACGGCACAGACGCTCTGTCTCCTACAGGCTCCCCCGCCTACGGCACAGACGTTCGGTCTTCCACAGGCGCCCCGCCTACGGCACTGACGCCCATGATAGACGCCTCCCTCCTCCAGTACTTTCAGTACTTTCAGGCGAGACAGCCGTCGACGCCAGCGCCTTTACAGACGCCTCTACAAGCGCCTCCCATAGCGCCTCTGCAGATTCCTCCTCTAGCGGCCTTTCAGTCGGCGCCTATCTGCACGGCCGCTCCCCGGTTAGCAGGCGCTCCAGTGGCTATCGATCCGACTTCTAGGGGGGCGCCTTCATCCCTTGTTATGATGACACCCCTATGGACTGGTGGATCCCATCTGGGTTTTGACAAGGTCGCAGACTGGTTGGCAGATAGATTGGAGGCTATCGCTCCCTCGCCCGGCCTAGAGGTTTATAGCAAGACAGCCATCCGTGCAGACCCCACTTCGATCCCTCCTGACCCACTGATCAGAGACATGATTTCAGCTCTGGACGAGGACTTCAGTAAGCTGTCACTGACTCCCTCCTTCAGGGCCCCACGTTATAAACAAGATGACTTCCCAGTCCACTCCCTTCAAGTTGCGGACCACGCTCACTCCTTAGATGAGAACATGCACCGCATGACGGGATTGAACCGCTTCACCTCAGTCCGAGTCTCCGACAACAAACTCACCTACGTGGAGACTGAGATTCGCCACACACTCAAACCCCTCTTACTGATGGCGTCATCCTCCAGGGCCATACTGCAGGACTTAGCGGAAGACAACCCCAACAGGATTGACCATCTAACTGCCGTCGTATCCTACCTCCAACAACAGGTGGAACAGATGCGCTCTGATCAAGCTCACTACCACTAGACGCCTTGGGTACCTTGCCTTGTCCAACTGGGACCCAGAGTTCAAGAGAGACCTTTTGCGTCAACCCTGGTCTGGCGCTGACCTCTTTAATGGACAGATATCCCAGACACATGCCCGGGTCACAGCCTTCGCCCGTGATGAGACGGCTCTCAAGGCCCTGGCCAGGGTGTCACGGCCAGACTTTGCTGAGGCGTCCCAAAGCAGGCTCCTACCAACCACGTCGCAGCTCTCTCAGGGCTCGGGGGCGGGGCGCCACCTCAACCTCTCGAGGCAGAGGCAAGGGGAAAGGAAGGTCCTCAGGCTCATACCAGTCCCGTCGCGGCTACCCAAAGAGGGGTAACGCCAGCTGCAGAGACCGCCAGTGGACAGGCACGACTGGGACCTCCCACCCCCAGCCATCCAAGTTGTCGACACCCCAGTAGGTGGGAAACTGGCTCACTTCTGGCGGAATTGGGTGATCCTTGGGGACCCATACGTCACCAATATCATCCAACACGGGTACAAGCTGACGCTTGTAGACGACCAGCCACTGACGTCGTCACCCATAGTGGACACATTCCCCCCACCCAACAGCAGCTTCTGAGCCGGAACATCACAGCGCTGCTATACAAGAAAGCTATAGAGGTCGTACACGCCCAAGCCATAACACCGGGCTTCTATTCACTTGTCTTCCTGGTCCCCAAGAAGGACTCGGAAAAGCACAGGATGATCCACAACCTCGCCCCCTTCAACAAACGCTACCTGGCGCGTCCACCTTACTTCAGGAAATTCCTCCGCTTCAACTTCATGGGAGTCCATTATCAATGGGCGGTCCTCCCGTTTGGAATTTCTTTGGCCCCGTTCACACGGCTTACCAAGCCGATAGCCTCATACCCCCATCGCCGGGACATCCAGTTCGAGGCGTACATAGACAACTGCCTGCTGGACCATTGGGACCCTGTCAATCTACTCCGCCATAGGGACTTCATCCTTCATCGGGGGCCTCTTTCAGACTGACCTTGACCTCCTCTCTGTACCCAGAGACCGCTGGGAGCGCATTCAGGCGCACCTGATTCCAGCTCTCCACCTACCACGCACTCTGTACAAATGGCAAGTCCTCCTGGGCCTCCTAACCTCGGCACAAGACTTGACCTACAGAGGAAGGCTCCAACTGCGCCCAGTTCAGATGTTCTTTGCGCCCTACATCAGACGCCAGGACCCCTCTATATCCATCGTCCTCCCGGGTCATCTCAAGCAGCATCTCCGGTGGTGGACGGTGGAATCGAATGTCTTAGACAGCGTCTCCTTGACGGGGCTTACGACCTCTCTACGCCTCTTCGTAGGAGTGTCATCCCTACAGGGATGGGGCGCACACCTGGAGGGACAGGTCGCCTCAGGGCTGTGGTCCATCGATCAGCGCCTATGGCACAACAACCTCGAACTGGAAGCATTTATCTTGGCCATCACTCACTGGAAGCAGGCGCTCAGACACGCCCGGCTCTCCATCTCGACAGACACCATCACCGTCGTATGGTGTCTCCGGAACCAAGGAACGACTCATTCGACTCATTCGCTCCTTCAACAGATTATTTCGCTTGGTGGATCATCTGAGGATCCAGTTCCAGGTCCACCACATCCCGGGCTGCCGAAACATCCTAGTGGATGCCAGGCAAAGTGGCTCCCACAGAGTTGAAACTTCACCCAGACGCCTTCGTTCCTGCTTGTCGAGACCACGGTCTCCCCAACATAGACCTATTCGCCACCAGCCAGAACTACCAGATCCCGACCTACATATCTCTGGTGCCGAATCCTCTGGTAAAGGAATAAAAGCGTCCCCTTTCCGCCAACTGTACTCCTTCCCAAAGTCGTCCAGAAGATCAGATTGACACGGAACCTCAATCTGACTTTGGTCGCGCCCTTGTGGCCAGCGAGGGCTTGATTCGTCGACCTCAGAGAGCTATCCAACGTCAACCCCTGCCACTCCCAGATTGGCCAAATCTGCTGATCCACCCTCACAGCAGACCGCCACACCCAGGACCAGACAGGTTACGTCTTCACTTTTGGTCCATTTACAGAGAGCTTTGAGTGCCAAGGGCTACTCGGTCAGAGCGGCTAAGGCCATCACGATGGCACATTGCCCAACCACCAGGAGCCTTTATGATGACAAGTGACAATCCTTTGAGAGCTTTTGCAGGAGTAAGCACCAAGACCCCACATCTGCATCGCCTCAATTCCTGGCCGAGTTCATGCTCCATCTGCGACACAAGCGTAAGCTCAAGGGCAGTACCATCATGACCTACCTTGTGGCGCTCAACTCCGTCCTGGCAGTCCCAAA